CAACCTCAAAATATTTATCTTAATTTACAATTGGTGAGGAGAGTTGGTGACGTGAGAATCCAAAAGAAAATTTTTGCTGTCAGCAAACAAGTCTGTAGGAGATGTAACGGCCAGCAGTTTCCGACGATCGAATAATTTTGACAACCTGCAAAGAAATGAGAAGGTATGACAAGGGTGCAAGTAACTTTGTCAAATTATTCATGAAAAAAAAAATAAGTAAATAAAGCTAAATAAATTAAGCGTTTAAAAAATAAATCTTAACTGCCTAGTATTGATTAAAACATAGGCACAGGGTAGGACACAGGCAAGTTGTAAGTGAAACTCAGCAAAAAAAAAAGTACATCTCAAAAACTAAAATAACTTGATTTCAAAATTTTGTGTTAATCAAAAGCTTGGTATTTCACAAGTCACTGTGTGAAATTTGTGAGTTTATTTCTTCAATTGAACCAATGAGAATTAATAGAAGCAAACTGTTCAAACAGTAATGTTATAAGTTAATTTTCAGAAAAGTTTTCTCAAATGACACTCCACTTTACCTGGCCTCTTCTCAAGCCATAGTAGCGACAAATAGGATCTCCTGTTTGGATACGAGGTAACATATTTTCTTTCAATTTACTGAACCAAATTAAGGACAGACTAAAAATAATAATAATAAGCATTGATGTATTGTGCACCGTGTTTCTAGTTGCATGGCAACGAAATGTAAAACGTGCAAATGTTGTACCAAGAGACCGCCCACCTCTGCAGATAGGCTATAGATGGAATGTGAACAGGTCTACGGGTCTACCTGATACCATGAATCCATTCCTAAACCTTATCACCAATAACTGGGATATCGTGGCAGTATAATAATTGAAAATCACTGCATACCTGTCCTCTCTTCAGTCCATAATACCGTGCAACTGGATCTCCTGCTTGAATTCGCATCAGCATGTTTTCCTTCAGTTTGCTAAAAACTTGTGTTAAGGAAGCAACAAACACACACAAACACACAAAGCATTGTTAAGTTAAAACGGCATTAGATATTGAAAAACCTAATTCAAAAACTCAAACAGAAAATAATACAACGCTAGCAAAAGGATACTATCTGGACAGTAATTCTTGCTTTTCTTCGGGTGTCATAACCACATGTTCAGGAACTAGCTCATGTTCAGTAATGTTGATTAGCAATTCCGATTCCAAAAACTGCTCCAAAATGTATTTTGGAGCCATGTCCACCAAAGACTGAAACATTAATTTAATAAAATAAAATGAATAATGGTTACTCTAACAATGACATGTAAAAGTAAAACACTCAGGTATGCAGTCACCTGCTTAGCTGATGGTGTCATGCCCTGCTGAACTACTATCATGGCTCTGTGAATATTTTCTTCCTGCATACGCTGGCAATATGTCTTGATCGTTTTAATTCCAATTTTAGGTTCTTCAGGAAAGAATACAAACATTTGGTCTGAAATAAATGAAACAAATTAGTAAGGCTCAATTTGAGATTTTTAGAGACCCTCGAGTGTGTCAGTACAATGTTAGCACACATCAGTAGTACCTGTAGGGTCGTCATTGTGAGCAACCAGCACAATGAGATCAGCTCGTGATGGTCTCTTTTCACTGAAGGACAAAAGAAATTTCTTCACATTTATCACACAAACTAATTGAGAAAACGTTGCAGCATTGGTCGAGGTTAACTTACCTTGGTTTATCACCGTACTGTTCCTTAAATTGTTCTAAAGTTTGGTCAAGTTCATCTTGAGTAACTAGATAACCACGATCATGGCATAGCTGAAAAAAAATGTAAGAATAAATGGGTATATCGGAAATAAGCAGAAATGAGAACACTATTAATAAGGTTAGGAACATAGACCGGTAAGTTAACAACTGATTAGAAATGCTTGCTGACCTGCATAACAGTTTTCTTCACACGCCATAGTTTGTAGCACTCAGCTTCGTCATCCATTTTTTACTCAGTAGCAAAAAGCTTCGTAAAAACGTCTAGAGAACGCAAATAGCTGAGTTCTATTTTCAAACTTACAACACCGAAAATACAACAAAATAACAAACACAAACCGCCGATCATATCGGCGAAGGGGAGATACTAGACCTACCAACTACTGCGACACATTGAAACGTTCTGCACACTTCGTAAAATCAAAGTCATTTGTGTT